TTCAGAAAAAGATAGTTTGGAGGGAGGGGGGGGGGGTCGTATCAGAGACAAAAACTTTGAGAGGGATATTCTGAGGGTGATATTCCGCAAAAATGTTTCCCAAGACTGGTGCCCGGTTTCCACTTCAGCGCTCGTCGCCTCTTGCTCATGTTCATGATTTCGCAGGCTCATACTATTTCTGATATTGGATCGAGTACCTCCCCCCTCCCACCGTGGGTTTCGTGTTTTGGAACTGTCCTTGCCCTGTTCAGAAGGTTGAAGTGTGCCTCTCGTGTAGATATTGAACATTCCTCTGGCGGCTTGTTGATTTTAAGTGCTGCATACTAATTCAGCTGCAAGCAAGCAGTAGCCAGAGAAAGAAAGAAAGCTGCCATCGTCACTGCGTATTGATTTGCGTTTGCCGAATTATGCTAGCAGTGCTGAAAACAACCTTTTTTCAGATGAGGCTCTCATATTGAGGGGAGGGGAAAGAATAGAAGGCGCTGCGGAGCGCTTAAGGCGCAGATCGGCGACGGGGGGCATTTTGTGCTTTCGTTGCTTTCGCTATTTCCGGTTTACAAGTCTCACTCTGGTGAAACCTGTGAACTCTTGTGAAGCTGGAGCAAGCTCGTCAAGCCATCATTAAAACCTGTCAACTCGAGAAGAGGCTGTCTAGATGGGTCGACACGTCGATGGGAAGTAGCGAAAGTGCAAAATGCCCCCCCCGTCGTCGAACTGCCCCAGCGCCTAGTATCGAACTTCCACAAAATGCACTTTTTTCAGCTTAACGATTGGGGACCGGATGTTTTCAAGATCGACGAACTTTCCAAGAACCACGCCCTTACCACTATCACCTATGCGCTGTTCCGAGAACGAGGTCTTATCAAGGTATGTCCTCCCCCACTTGATCACTTTCAAATCATCACTGAACTTCGATCTCATTTAGGCGTTTGAAATCCCATCGTCTGTGTTCGTCACGTATCTTCTGAACCTTGAACACCATTATCGATCAAATCCTTATCACAATCACATTCATGCCGCCGACGTTGCTCAGTCAATGCATGTATTGCTCACTTCTCCCGTGCTCACCGTAAGTAACCCTTTATAGAGTTCCCACCCCTATACCACAACGAATTTATCCTCCCAAATTCAGGAAGTTTTCTCTGATCTCGAAGTAATGGCGGCAATATTCGCTGGTGCCATACATGACGTCGACCATCCGGGCTTCACCAATCAGTACCTTATCAACTCTAGTGAGTGTTTTTCGATCAGTGGCTGCACCTTTGCTCGTTTTATCAGTCTTTTTTTGTCTACTGAAATCTTTGCGTGGGTTACATTTCGATGCCATGTTGCCCGCCGTGCCATTCATTTCTGATCTTTGCTTTCCTTCTTTGTTGACGTTCTCCCTTGCAAAAATGGGGGCCATCTACGTCTCCAAGTGAACAACTATCTTCTGACCTGCCTGCACAATTTTTTTAATAGAGTGATCTTCGATTACCGAATTGCCACTTTCAATGACCTGACTTCCACTGCAAATTTGAATTAAATCACCAATTCAGTGATTTTCAAATTGTCAGTGACCAGCCATCTTTCATCTGCCAATTTTGATAGCTTTTTCTTTGCAATCACCGAATTCTAACCATAAGAATTATGGAAAACAGTGTTGAGTGGGTGCTTATACAGGGATAGGCGCTTTCTGTTCGTAAGTTTAGGTGGTGCCCGAGCAAGATATCCCTCGAGTTTTTTTTCACTTGGTGTGGGGAGGGGCAGGAGAGTAGCAGAAGCACCCGATTCAAAACTAGTGAAAAATTGAAAAAAATTCTAGAGCCTGAATAGGACTGTCTCCATCCCCCTTTGTCCCCAGGGTTGGAGAACGACCCCATCTACATCTGTGCAAAGGCTACGTGCCCTATGCCCAGGCCAACTTAATTTTTCATCCCACCATTGTCGAATGATCAGAGCATACACGTCCCGCGAAGCATGTAACTACGAGTCAAACATTGGCTGTTTGTGATAGTTAAGCACCACATAGGCCAAATACGTATGTACATGCACTTCATATCCCGAACATAGGGAAGGCGTGGCTGCGTACTTCATTCGAACGTAGCTACGGCTGCGCTTTTGGTGAGTATTGCCGTTTTTGAAACAACGTGAAAGGGTAATCCAACCGCAACACGGCGAAGGTGTTTCAAAATGGAATACCAAGGGGCCAAATACGCATTCTGCTCGCCCTGTTTCAACCTAAGGACGGAGGTCACGAGGGCCAGGCCCCTAAAATCCAGGACCAATGAATGTATGACGAACTACTCTTATGCGAGCTTAAGTACGACAAGTGGAGATATATGCAAGATAGTACGTGCAGTCGCAAACCCAGATTATGGAGCATGCTTTACGAACATTGTACAGATTAGACTTTGGTTCTGATTTCATTTCTAGGTACTGAAAATTCGGCAGTGCCTTTTTTTGGACTTGTTCTAATCTTATTTCGTTGCTAGTGCTACGTTCTTGGATCGTCACAGAACAAAATAGAGTTGTACCTTACTGTATTTGTTCCTCTCTCGTCAACTTTGAATATATTCCCTTTGAGGCCCTGCTTCAGACCTCTCTCGGTCGTTCTTAATTTGCGACGGGTTTGACTTGGTTGTGTTGGATGCGAGCTGAAGTTCGGATGCCCACATAGAATCGTAGAGACATTAAGAGGCGCATGGCCTTTGTAGGTTGTAACGGTGGGTGCCGCCCTTGAAGGACCGGAGATACACTTGAGGAATCCGATCTTCTTATCTGTGGTGACTCTGCACTAAGATTATTACGGTAATCAGCTTACCTCGCGCCAAACGCTTTTTCGTCGTCGTCAGTGGCCTGAACATGGCTCAAGGCTTGTAACGTACTCTTTATCTCATCAAATCCCTTCTGACGACGACGACACAAGGACGAGCCGCAGAAAGGCTGGCCGCGTAAAAATTACTACGGAACCACCTTGTGCAACTATAAAAGAGCAAACACATGAAAAACTCAAGTGACGCCTGCTTCCACTGAAAAAAAGTATTGGATACAAATTTAAAATTCTCGAAACCGTCCGCAAATCGCTCAAGGTTTCTTACGCGGGTGTTCTCGGTTTCTACAGTTACAGTACAGCTGATGGCTGGGAAAAGAAGGTTTTTTCGCTGGCCTGGGCGTATTCGATTACCGAATGTACGGCTCGTTACCCTAAGCCCCTGGGCTCCGTGAAGAGTTGCGTCTGTGATTTGAGGGAATTTAGGGCGCAGTGATTTCGAAATAGCCTTTGAGGACTTATAGAGAGAAAAGAGATTTCGATTATGGTTCCCAGTCGGTTTCATAATTTTTGGCGTTTTCTGGACTTAAAAAATTCTGTAAATATAGTCAGTAAAACTCCAAACCAAGGTGAAAGTAATTTGCTAATTCTATATGTCTTATATCTGCCCCTTCCCGTTACCAATGGTAATACTTTCTCAGGAAACTGCTGATGACCAGTGAATAGTAGTTCGTCTTTTAATTTGGATCATTTATTTTCTCAACTGTTCTATACATGTTTGTCTCTTTACACATACTCCATTTTAGAGAGACGGTCAGTTGTACCGGCGGGGCAACTTTGCACCGCGCGCTTCTGCACCCATTTCGTGTCTCTATAGGGCTTCAGGGATTGTGCGCAGACTCAGTAAGTCTCACCAGCAGGGGCATGTCTCAGGGTTCTCTAGGCCCTAAGAACCATTTCCTGAAGAAAAAACACCTCTCCCCTATCGAGCGCGATGGAAGGTTTCTTCGTCACCTATCAGAAATATTTACTCACGACTCTGCGCCAGCGCGCCGCCAAGCAGGGGGGAAGGGGGACCTGAAACGGGAAAATTGAAATCACATGAATTTTTTCTCTGATTCATATAGCACCTCTCCCTCTGTTGGGGTCCCTCAACGTATGTATGACTCTATCTGTGCGTGATTTTCTATGTATTCTTCAGTATTTTGGACGCCGTTACAATAAGGTGGTACATGATTCATTTCATTTGGGCGAAGAAAAGAGGATTTCCTTACAAGCCGTTTTTGGCACCCCCGCAGCTCCTCGGCGTAAGCTTGCATACTAGGGGTTATTTGGTATTTTTGGTAACAGGCATCACGTTCTTCAAACAACACCAGCGCCGTTTAGTTCTATGCAAAGGATGAGCCTGGGTGGAAGGAGTGATTCTCCCTCCTCCCTCCTAGCTCCCAGCCTTTATGGTTAGCAAGAATCACTAATAGATGCCAGTTTGCCTACGTTATAGACGGCGCCAAGAATGAATGTTATGTTATGTGATCACGATGTCAAATACCCCCATATACAAGACTCATCAATTTTGGTGAGGAAGGATGTTATCACTGGGCGCATAAGTTGCGCCAGATTGGCCGCCGGGCTCGAAAACTGAACGCCGTATTTTCTGATCAGGATAATATCAAATAATTCCGTATGCAACTTTATCATTAGGTTTTAGTTGAGAAAGGGTGGTGAAATGGGTGGTTAACTGGCGACGAGTTGCCAAAAAAACGGAATGCCATTCTTGGTGATCAGGACACTGAACTTAATCCTATAAAGAGAAAGAACATAAATCTTATAATCTTCTTTTATTGAAGATGTACGGTCGAAAGGACAAAACATGCCTATAAAGGAGGAGTTTCACAGAGGAATTTTGAGTTAACTGGAATAGTAATGTGGCAGAATCAATTCTTGAGTGTTGAATTTTCATTTGTTCAAAGATCGAAGTTCGGGCTTAAATAATTACCGCCTCCTAACTAGTGGTCGAATCGGACGTATTCTGCACAGATTTTTTTCCGTCGCAAACCATCTTTTACCATAACTTCCCACAGAACATAATCAAATTATTTGAAAATTCCACTGATGGATGGCTGGGGAACACTACGAAGCTGGAGGTCTATTTCAATTTTGTTTAGTTTGTTGCCTTATTTTTGACGAATTCCGATTGTCGAGTCTCACTTACACTCCTTATCCCTGAGCCAGGGTAGGCGTGGCATTTGAACATGGCACGGAACTGGTTACTCGTGTAATATTCCAGTCTATGACAACTGTCATCTTGTTCTGTGTTGGACAGAGACACGACAACAATTGTGTCAAGATGAAAATATTTCACCAGAAGCAGATAAAAACAGCCTTCAGGTAAATTGAAACATGCGGCACACGTACCGATCTCAGGGGATCCTCGGAGTATACCTCAGCGTGGGTACCCTGAGTTGTATGACAGCGTCGTAGCACCCTCCAGTCTTATAGCGGAAATCAATCTGAGCGTATCAACCTTAAAAAAGCAACATATTTGAGGAGGGCGTGTTTCCGTGATCATTTCGATACCGGCTTCGATAATGTTTCGGTAAAATCCAGCGCGAAATGGAAGTTTTCCCTGAAAGCGTGCACCGTATGAGGATTGACTTTGCCCTATGGATGCATAAACTATTCGCTTCGGGTGGTTCCAGCTATCCATTAGTGTCCATTTTCAAATATTTTGGACCACTTCTACGAAAGTCATGGCAAAACGACGGTTTGCGACGAAAAAATCTGTCGCAAAAACCGTCGGACTTGACCACAAAAATTTTAGGAGCGGTATTGTAGATGAGTTGCATTGATGGCCTCCGGCCCCTATGGAACTGGCCGTATTTTCCAAAGAACGTTCACCTTTATTATCAACCCTGCAGTCTGAACATCATTCAAATTAATTGTCGTGGTAGGATCTGTTTCAGAACCCAACTTCCTAGATAAATGCAAAATACAATACTGGGAAAGATGAATCTTCTATGGAGAAAATACAAGTTTTACAATCTGAACTCATAGTATTGTGCTGTCCCGGAGCCTCGCTATATTGCAATCTGAGTGTAAAAATATGAAGGCACCGAAAATTTCACTGCAAAAGATTCCAAAGATCCAAAAAAAGATCCGAAAACTTCTGCGAAACTTTTTCATTCTTCGAGTACTTGGTACCTTCTCCATCCTTTTTCATAAAATGAAAACAGATGAGTATAGAAAAAAGAAAATAGTTCCTGTTTCAGACAACGAGTTGGCGATTATGTACAATGATGAGAGCGTATTGGAACAGCACCATTTGGCCGTCGCATTCAAACTTCTTCAAGATTCCAACTGTGACTTCCTATGCAGTCTATCCAAAAAGCAGCGATTGCAATTCCGGAAGATCGTCATCGATATGGTGAGCATCTCGATCCGTTCATTTTACTACAAATTACAGTCAAATTTATTTTATCTATCAATGATTCCTGCTACATACTGTATGAGACATTTGCGTCATGAAAAAAGGATGACAGCCGATTCACCTTTATGAGCGGTTTGCCCTTACTATAACCCTCTTACCGTGGAATGTCATTTCCTCGTTAGAACATATGTGGCTCTTTCCACGGAACAATGCGCAGTCTTACTGGCATTTCTGCACCTGGGAGAAGGAGCGATTCCTTTCCCGCCATGGTCAGAGTCAGGGCACAT